ACACACACACACACACACACACACACACACACACACACACACACACACACATACAATAAGATATCGTCTAACAGATGTAACAACTCATTGCACTTAGAAGATAGAAATTATATCTAATGCTTTATTTCCTACGTCAGACAACTCCCAGTCTAACCCCCTTTCAAGTTCCCCACTTAACACTACACAAATGTGGCAGGCAGTTCTGTTCAGCAGCAGGGCAAAGCCAATCTTCATCATCATCCGGCGCCTTGCCGACTGGCGTGGGCGATCATGGACCTCCACTTCACTCTGTCTTGCGTTGCAGCAATGGTGTCTGTTGTTTTTGCTGCCCTTAGCCATGTTGTCATCTTGTCCAGTATCTTTTCCCTCTGTCTTCCTGTGCCTCTCTTTCCATCAAACTTTCCTGTTGGTACAGTATTCTCCAATGCTTCTTTCAGCATTGTGTGTCCGAAGAAATTAGCCTGTCGCCTTTTTGAAAAGCCAATCTTAGGCACATTTATTCCAACCGCCATAGCCTACATAAGTCAGAAACATGAGTTTGCATTTTTCACGGAAGTATGCACGTTGGTACATGTACATGCCTTTTAAAGTTTCAGATGAAGGAGGGGGAAAATCCTAGAGTCTGTTTTGAATGATACAGCTGTGCCTCAAAAAGAGCATCTTCAAGCGTTGTCGAATGACCAGAGTGATAAGAATGCGCAAACTCAATGAGTTCAGTCTCTCTGAGATAATGTACGCACTATTATGTAGGTCCTCACCTTCACTTTTCAACTATCCGTAATCTAGCTGACCATTGGGGTAGCCTACCGCTGCAGATTTTGCTACCAACTTCTTCCACTCCTCTCGTTTCTTAGCTTTCTGTGGTAAGATGTTCCAGTCACGGCCAGTATATTCTTTGACGTTGTCTTCCCACTGTTTTCTCAGTTAGCCTTTGCTACATTAAGGTAACCTACTTTGTAAAAGCGAAAAATCTGATCTCACCCTAAAATGCAGCAATAAAATTATATCTATCAGTTCTACAGAAAAAAAATGAAAGAAATAGTGAGTTCGAATTGCAAATTTTAATGTACATTGCTCTGTTATTGGGACATCCTCCTTTATGGGTGGCTGGGTGGAGACACTGATAGTCATAAATCCCACGTTGTTTCTGTCCCTTTTAGATTTCTGAGTTTCTGTCTGTCTTACTTTTTCCCTGTACTAAATGACCGTTAATGTGTTGGTGTGCTTCTCTTTCCTCAAACAAACAAACACGATCTTGGGAATTCGATAAGGAAAAAGCTGCCGTTCAGTTGAAGGAGTCCAGTCCTCAAGTCTTCATTGATTGACGGCTGGTTTGTGCATGAGTGCATGATGAATTTGTATGCTCAAATTAACCATCCGCTCTTTTAGAAGAATTAAAAAGAAAGAAGAGGTCAATGAAAATGTCAAGAGAAATACACGTTAAGTCACATTATTCCTTCCACCACTTATCTTATCATTTCCAAAAACCCCAAACTTTTAAAGATGGTTTTGTTTTAATTTACAGTTATAAAACTACATTCTTTGAATGAATTTGTTGGTTTTTTGTTGTTGTTGTTTCTTTTCATTTGATTGATTTCATTTGGGTATTCTACAGGGTAGAGTTGTGGTTCATAAGACGCATGCTGCGTTCCCATGGACAGCTAGATTAAACAAATGCAGTTGTGAGCGCCGTAAAACCCTCTACTATAAAAAAGAAAAACAAATGAAAAAGTCTTGGTTGAAGCAAATTGCAGAAGACAGCTTATGGCGAATATACGAAAGAAACAGGCAAATTTCTTCGGACACACAATGCGGAAAGAAGCATTGGAGAATATTGTAACAAACAGGCAAGTTTGATGGAAAGAGAGGCAGAGGCAGACAGAGGGAAAACATACTGGACAAGATGACAACATGGCTGGGAGCAGCCAGAACAACAGATACCATTGCGGCAACGCAAGACAGAGTGAAGTGGAGGTCCATGATCGCCCACGCCAATCGGCAAGGCACCGGATGATGATGATGATTCTACAGCGTATTTTTGTAAGTTAAGGGCTTACACAATACTAGGACCCTAATGTTTTCTCAAAATGGACTCATCCCGTTTTTCTCTTGACCTTTCCAAATTTATATCACAGCTTGGTGTGTTGGCCTATGTTGGTCCGACTGATGTTTAAAAATAGAACACAGTAGTCATAGTAAAGGGTACTTCATTCAGCACGCAGGCAAAGTACACATTACAGCACACCCTTGAAGACGTTCGAGGTTTGAGGTTAAAACAACACCCGCGTGGCTCAAGTATACTCACCTTACGACACACCAGCGTTTGTGGTGTTGCGGATAAGCGATATGCCGTCGAACACAGGAGAATTGAGTTCAATTCCAACGGGAGCAAAAGTGTTATCGAGTATTTCATTCAGTTTTTCTGCTGGGATGTTGTATCCCTGTCATCCCGGGCTGCTCCTGGCAAGCAGAATCGAAGCCCGCCTCCTAAAGGGTCTAAATTACGTCGACGGGGCGTACAAAAACATCTGTGTTCTATTTTTAATAATTAACCTTACGACACCAACACCCTCCAACCACTTGAATCTCCAATAGGACCGAGTCATAAAGATGGAGAGCCTTAAAAAAGAATGCACGTTCAGAACACCTTGTCTGGGTTTTGAACAAGGGCCTTCCTCTCCGTTGTCCAGCATACAAAGTCAACAGAACCCCATTTAATCTTTATATATATATATATATGCGTGTTCTCCTAAATCTTTGCACTCACAACTGCTGGACAACTATCCGTGAACTAGGCAATCTTTGCTCCATCTCACGGCAAAGGGTCATGTTATGAGGATAGCCATTCGGGTGGCTGCTGCAATAGTATAGCGGTTAGTTGAACAGTCGACTCCGCTTGTGTCGAACTCGCCTGAGTTAATCTTCGATTAAGCTGATCCTTCCCTCGGGTCCCAGCACCTTTTCTTCTTTAGAGGTCCCAACGGTTAAGTTGAACTTCGGAAGAATGGATCTATTTTTCACTCCCCCGGAGGACATAAATTCATTCGTAGTCGACTATACTTGTAATATATAGGAACAAATTATTATGCAAATGCAGATAACGGTTAAAAAAAAAAAAAGCGTAATCATTCAGATCACGTAAACCACTACAAAAATAAAACTCATTCAACACTTTCATAAGTGGTAAAGTAGTATGTATTCATCTTTATCAGTCCTCATAAACAAGGAGAAAAGACAAAATTGTTTAATTATATAAAACTACAGTGGTATATGAATACAAAGAGAAATAGGTCAGACACTGGTTCACTGATAAGACGTGAACAATAAGAATAAAGAACTATGGCACAAACAGAATCTCAATAAAAAACCGTTTGTGTTGCTGCCAACAGTATTTGATAAAAAGCACAATAATAGATATTTAATTTACTAACCGTTTCCCGGGGAAACTCTTCAGATATATTTTCCCCCCAGCCGGAATGTGTTGTACTTCGCACACATTTTCTCTTTACAAACCTATACATGTTGAGTTTTCCACACTCCATCTTTACGCTCTATCATTACTATCAATGTCCTGCCCTTTGGCGGTTTGTACTTTGTTTTATGTTGTATTTTTTGGATTATTTTTTATTTTTTAATATTTTATTTTTGGGTTGAGGGACTTTAGGAAGGAAGGGGTGGGGGGAGGGGGGTTACAGCTCATGGTCATGATTTAAAACATGATGCTATCTATCCAGTTACATGTACTATTTTTTTTAGTCTCTGCTTTCTTTTCCGTCTCTTTTACTCTTACATAATATACTCTTCTGCATTAATACATCGTTCACTAAAGGACCTGTCTGCGCCTAGCAGAGATATCAAACACACAAAAGGACATTTAACCATTAATCTTTATCGAACTCTCTCTCAATCCGCTACATGATGTATTCCTTCAGTGATCCAGTCATTCTACCTTCCTTCCAAACTACAATGGGATAAGTATTTCGTCAGCCCACTGGCAAGTCGTTTTATTGCAGTTTCGTATTCTGTGGTATTCATTGCGTAAGCTCAAGAAAAAATTTGTCGGTCGAAATTCGAATTCTCGATTTTGAAAACAAAGTTTGGAAATGATACATTAGAGTAAAAGTACAATTATCGTAAAAAATAAATGAAGCCGTTTTTTGTCTCTCCTGTAAAATTTTGCTTTTTGAGCTTTGTAAATTTTAACAGCTTGCCAGCGATGCATTTTTCTCGTAAGTGTTACATCTTGGCATGACAAATAGCCAACGAATCTCCACTATGGATATCAACCCAAGCACGGCTCAACCTCTAGAGTGAAGCTGCTGCCCGCCTTGGCTTCTTCAAAGACCAGGATCTGGTTCGAACCTTGTTTCAGGAGCGGAGCGGGCAGGTACAAGGTCTTGGTTGGTCCAATGTCCCAGTAGCGGCCGAGGTTGAAGCCGTTCACGATGACGATCCCTTTGCTCCAGCCTTCCATTCTCAGGAAGTAATCGGCAGTAGGTTTCTCCTGTAGGTCAAGGTGAGCTCTGAACAGGCTGGGAACATTCTTCTCGCCCGCGGCGTCCACTTTTGTCCACGCTCTTGTTTTGGACAGCTGTCCAATGAAGTCATCGTTGAAATCTAAAGCAACCACGGTCCAGTTCTCCAAATCTTCTTCTCCTAGTCTCACCGGCCCTTTGAGCCCTTTCCTCTGCGTGTTCAACACGTCCTGATTTTCCTTCAGCGTGTAGTTTACTCTTCCCAGATTTTCCACAACTACGTCCAGAACTACGTTGCCAGGTTGGCCACCGGCTTGTGACAGGGATACACTGGGGCTTGGCTCTTCGGCTTCTCGTGTCATCACTCCCTGGACACTTCCGTCCACCAAAATCGTAGCCCTGTCCCTAACAGGACCAGTCAGCACCAGAGTTGTCTCTCCTTCCAGGTGGATTTTTTTCCTGTAGATGATATATCCATACGACTGGACTTCCCCGTGGGCGTAGGTAAAGTTCTCCATGTAGTCCGGCGACTGGGTCTTCGTTGTCTTCTTCGACAGTTTCAACAACGATGGCCAACTTATCGTCTCGTCGATGGCAACTTCGATCGGCTTTTCTGCTCTTTTTGGATTTGCTGGCAGCGATTCTGGAACAGTCACGTTCAGGCCTTTACTTTTCGCCTCCACCTCAATCATTTCTCTGATCTTGACCGCTTTGTCCGTCAGTATACCCTCCTCAGAGAGCGGCGCACCGTAGTCGTAGCTTGTCGTGTCCGCTTTGTACCGAGACAAATCCAAAGCTCCGGCGAGGAACCCAAAATTGGTTCCGCCGTGGAACATGTAAAAATTCACACTGGCGTTTTCCCCGAGACAATACTCCAACGTCTTCTGCAAAAGCTCCACACCCCGCGTCTCGTGGGGAATCCCCCAGTGGTCAAACCAACCGGTCCAAAACTCCATCACCACCAGAGGATAGTTCGGATTGACCTCTTTGATTATCTCAAAGTTCGCCTTCACTTCTTCGACCGTTTGACCATTAGCAGTTGGTAGAACCCCATCTATGATTGGCCCCGTTCCGGCAGCAGACTCGTTGTCGCATGATACGAGCAATTCGACGACGCCGTTCTGCAGAAGGAGGTCTCTCATGAAGATCATGTGATCGGGCTCGTCGCTGAAGGAGCCAAACTCGTTCTCCACCTGTACGGCGATGATGGGTCCGCCCTGAGACCGCTGTAAGTCGGAGACGTACGGGAGCAGCCAGCCAAAATATCTGAAAGAGGAACAAAAGAAAAAGTTTATTACTATTATTATTATTATTATTATTATTGTATTAATTTTGTTGTTATTTTTATTGCTATTGTTATTGTTATTGTTATTATTATTTTTATTATCATAATCATTATTATTATTATTATTATTATTATTATTATTATCATTATCATTATCAAATATCACTATTAAAAAATATTATTATAATTGTTGCTGTTATCGTTGTTTATGTTCTTGTTGGTGTTGGTGTTGTTGTTGTTGTTGTTGTTGTTGTTATCATTTTATTGGGGTTTTTTTTTAAATTCAATTTTTACAAAAGATACCCTGTTTGGTGGTAAAGGAAATACCGAAGCCTAGATTTACAGACAAAGGGTATTCGTTTCCATTTTATCTATTTTTCAACAAAGCTGAGATCATCGCAGATGGTACGTGTCCATAGCTGGACCCCCCGCCCCCCTCCCTTTTTTCTTTTCTCTCCTCTGGATTCTCCTCAAAGTCCACCTGCTCATTGTTACAGCTAGATAATATAATCTGATTGGAGACATGTCGGGAAGGACCACACAAGTTGACAAAATGGGCTAAAACAAAATTGGGTTAGAGCTTCTTTTGCTGTTCACCAACTCCATTGATTGCAACCTGACAGCCCCTTAATGCTGGTAACGTGTGAATTTGTTTTAGTTTTAGTAAGAGTTTTACGGCGTTTGCAACGCAATTAGATCACAATAGCGCTGAAGATGAGAAGTGTTACAAGAGAGTAACATCCTAAGCATAGGTAAGGACGAAAGACGTTTGATAAGGGGGGGGGGGGGGGGCAAGCCACACCAGAGCACCAGTCAACCACCCATCTGTAGACATTCGAAAATGCTACAAAGGGTCTAATCTTTGCGTAGCTTCTCCAGACACACAATTGAATCTCTATCGGTATCCAACCAAACAATCAGTCTATTATGAAAACGTTTTATATTATATCTTATGTTGTTGTTGTGGACACCCCAGTCCACAATGCCACGACACAAACACAACAACATAAGATATATTATATCTTAATATTATACTTTAATAAAGTGTTTTTGAGAATTCGGTTACTCTCTTCCACCAGCTTGCAAAGTGCCATCAAGGCTTGACTTAACACGCGATATCAGGCACTAGACCGGCATAGCCTTGACTGGGAAAGAGAGTCTACTATCAGTTCTTTATCTCTCAAAATTATTACTCGTGCAGCACGCCCAAGTGTGTAATTTTCGAGAAGGTTGGGTCGTCACGTTTAACGACCTGACTTCAAAAGTGCATGCACACACACACTGGCCATGGTTTGTCGCTACGTAATATCCAGTACACATTGTTCATTAAAATATGATAGATTTGATGCATTTGATACTTTGGATACTTTTGATACAGTAGGGGCCGGCCATGATTTTTCTTTCCTAAAAAAAAACAACCATCTTTGAGTTTGAAGGATTTGATCAAATTGCACTCCCAAAAATTGTGGCTTTTGTGCCTTCATGGGGGACATCTGGGTGGCGCCGACTCATTCGACTAAATTCAGTTAGGTAGTGTGCACTGTGCACTAATAGTTCAACCTGCTCGCAGACTTCCTCCTCCCATCCCCCCCGCACTCCCCCCCCCCACTCCTTCCCGCGCGCCTTACTATGTTGAGACCAGGCGCAGCTGACTACATCTCGTTCCCCTCTCCAGTTCATCTCACACGCTGTTTTTTTTTTTAATTTTCAAGTTCTACGTCGTTATATTTCAATCTTCTTTTTGTGGACAAACGGACGTCAGAATGCAAGGGGTGGGAGTAGCGGATAGGGAGCCCTTTTTTTTTACTTCACAAAAATAGATGGCGAGAGCTGGTTTTCCAATACAGTGGTGCCCCAACGGTTGCCCCAACCACGGGATAGAAGAAGATAAAGTTGTTCCCGCAACCGATCAGGACATTGGGGATAGCCTTGTTAGTGAGACAACTTTCTGGGCTTTCGGCATATTGTGGTAGGGTGGCCAGTTCCTTTCCACGTCGCCTTTACTTCCCCAACTCGAAGTCAGGTACTCATTACTGCTGGGTGGGCAGGAAGGGGCGAAAAAAAATCCGTGTCCGAATCGAGGCTCGAACCCGGACTTTCCGCTTCGGAGACGAGCGCACTAACCGCTCCGCCACCATTATTGAATAAACTACATGTTTTATGTCATTATGGTCTATTTTCATAAACAATGGATCGTGAATTTAGAATGTCAAAGATTTGATTACCTTGCAAGGATTCATCTTACAAGCTAGTTTGAGAAGAAAGTTGTTTATTTATCTAAAGACATGTAGAAGGCTTGGATAGCCTGCATAGCTCTTTTTAGCACGGAACTCGAGAAATTTTCCGACTTAAAGGGGCCAACCTTGTGCGCGCGCGTGTGTGTGTGTGCATGTGTGTGTGTGTGTGTTTGTTTGTGTGTGTGTGAGCCTGTGTGAGTGCCTGCGTGCGTGCGCGCACGCGCGCGCATGTGTGTGTATGTGTGTGTGTGTGTGTGTGTGTGTGTGTGTGTGTGTGTGTGTGTGTGTGTTTGTGTCAGTGCGTGTGTGCGTTCGAGCACGCTACTTTCTCTTGCGAAGGATTGGCAACTTTTGACTATGGTGAAGACCTTTTGTTCCGTTCTATTGCACAGCCCTATTGACAAATGCCCGCAACAACCCCCCCCCCCCCCCCCCCACACACACACCTGAAAATCTCAATTTAGTATTATAAATTGGAAAAAAAAGCTCAAACTTAACTCATTATTGTATTCATAAAACTATTTAGAATGTTATACCAATCAATTTTAAAAGAAAGCTTGTTCAAACAGCGGACGTATTTTTGTGTCATGTTTTAAATCTGGAGTTGTGCAAATAGAACTCCTGTCGCTTTCACACAGACTACACATTTATTTCGTATACTAAACTTTTTTACTGGGTGGTTGATGGGCACTCTGATGTGGCTTGCATTGTCTTTCGCATCAAACGCCTATTGGCGTTATCTCTCCTCCTTCTCTCTAGTAACTCTTTGAATCTTCGGCACCCATTAGACCCATTTCCTTCCAAGTGCCGTATAACACTCGTTAAAACTAAAAAAGAAAATCAACAATCTTACAATTAGACTAACCTTTATAACAACAGAAAATAACAATATTGAAACCGTGAAGGTTTTAAACAGGGCACTGTAAGCTCCAACTCACCTCTCGACTGCCTTCTGGTATCCTTTATAGTTAGATCTGACTTTCATGTCCGGATCAGCAAGCAGCCAAGAGGGCAGACCTCCGAAATCCCACTCGGAGCAGATGTACGGACCGGGCCGGAAGATGACGTAAAGGCCAAGGTCACCAGCCATCTTGATGAAGCGTCGAAGGTCAAGAATGCCATCACTTTTGAAGGTGCCAGGTTTGGGCTCATGCATGTTCCAAGGCACGTACCTAGGCAAAGTAAAGTAAAAATTGGGATAATGGTAAAGGAATGCATCCAGATGGATAAATGTAGAATTTAGGATATCCGAATGGACATAGCGGAAACACATATCACATCAACAGCAGACCAACCCCCCCCCCCCCACCACAAAAACCCAATGTTGCAGCATATTTCGAACAATCATTTTCTTCAGAAACACGAATTTTAAAGAAAAAAAACACAAAAAAAAAACAACAACAACAACCAACATTGGCACATCGAATAGCATGAGCATAAAGCATAGAGCATGCCGTAGAGTATGGTTATGAGCCACATAAACACACTTATTTTTATTATTTTTAAAAAAATTACTTATAAAAAACCCCATTCGACATGGTGTTCGAATAGCACGAACATAGAACGTATAGAACATGCCATAAAGCATGGTTATGTGCATCATTAACACAATTATTACAATTTAAAAAAACCGACATGTATGAGAAAAACCATTCGCACACGATATTCGAATAGCACGAACAGAGATTCCCCGCTTCGAAGCGTCGATGAAGCTTCGTTTCCTCAAAATTGCACAGCCATATAAATCGCTACAAGGGTGGGACCCGCCATGTAAATAGACAGATAGTCACGAGAATACTCGGAGTCTTTTGAGTCTGACGTTCTCCGACACTTCTTCTGTCAACGTTACCATTATTATCCCATCTAAAGCCCTCTGTTTGAACGACTTAACTAAGCCAACAAGGCCCTAAAACTCGAGTCGCCTACGCACTCGCGGCTCTTGGCCCACTTCTTATTCAATCCAACGGCTTACGGGTAAATGGGTAAAAGTGTTACGGCACCTGCAGCACAGTTAGGTCATATACGTGCCCATATAAGTGGTGTTACCAGAGAGTAACTTGCAAAGAAAAAAAGAAGGAGGAATAATGACAACAGAAGTTTTATAGAGGAGTAGAAGCAAACCTTCTGTGGTTTCTTAGAAGAAATTTGGTATCTTAGGAGACTGCTGAGAATATCTTTGAGAGAAAAAAAAATAAATGAGGTGGTACTTTAAGCAGCCCACGTGGGACGCTCACTGATATCATGATAAAAACAACCAGGAAAAGACAAGTGCAGTTTTTTTGGACACCTGAATAGACATAAAAGTCCCGAAGATCTAGCTCTCACTGCCAAAATTAAAGGCAAACGACGCAGGAGTGGGCCCAGAGCAACCTACTTGGAGAACCTAAACAGATGGGTAACGAGGAAAGATTTAGGGTAATATTGTGTTTTAAGAGCATCGGAGCAAAGGAAGGAATGGAGAACCATGATCGCCAATGTCTGCCGCAAATATAGCACTTGATGATGATAATGATGATGATGATGATGATGATGATGATGATGATGATGATGATGATGATGAT